GAGAGGAAAGCCTTGACCGACAAGTCACCTTTTTGCAAGCTGTGGAGCTCCATAACAAGCTGGGTCTGTTGAGCATAAGACAGAGTGCCGAAACCCTGCTGAAGAGCTGTCCATGCAGCCGCCGACGTTGTGCAGCCCTGGAGAACGGGAATGATCTCTTCAGCAACGGAAGAAAGAATCCAAGAGAGGACCAACTGATCCTTTTGCTGCCAGATATCAAACTCATGATTGAGTTGGGGCACGGCACCACTAACGGAAGGAAGAAAACGTGGTGATGCAGGTTCGGTGCCGTCGACAATACCGGCAACACGAAACATAGTCAATAAAGGAGTAAACTGAAGACGCCAAGACGAATAGTTGGCCCGAGATTGCAGCTTCACAGTAAAGGAATGATTAAGAGACTGTAGACTAGGTTGAAGAAGTGATACGGGTGTCTGTGAAGGAGGTACCGCCGGCCGGAGGTGGGTAGCCTGGTCGGTGGATGACAGGTCGGTGAGAGTCATCGTCGAAAGAAAGCACGCAAAACCGAATAAGGCTCAATTTGTTTTTTTTTGTTTTTTTTTGGTTTTTTTTTTTTAAATGGCTGAGAATCAAAGTTCAGCAGGCGGCGGCGGCAACCGACGAATCAGCACGCCGACAAAGAAGAAGCACGCCGGCAAAGCACCACATCCGGCAAAGAAGCGGCACGCCGACGAATGGAAAACGCACACCGACGATGAAGAAGAACGGCAGCAGCAGAAAAAAAAAAAAAAATTCGACGGGGAGAAGAAGAAAGGAGGAGACGGCAGCAGTAGCAGCAGCACCACACCTAATTGACGAGACGGCAGCAACAGGCGGCAGCAGCAGGCGGCGCAATGATGAACACCTGCAGACGCAGCACTACGGCAACACTGGGACGATGGCAGCGCACGAGAAGAAGAACCAGGGTGTGGCGGCTGTGTGTGGCGGCAGAGGGAGGACGCACGGCGATGCTGAGCTTGGTCGACGGGGAGAAGAAGAAGGGGTCTGGGCGCTGGACGACGAAAGCACACGCCAGCGAAGAAAGAAAGAGGCCAACTGTGAATGGTCGACGACGACAAAAAGAAGGATTCGGCCGACGACGGCGGAAGAAAGAGGCCGACGACGGCGGATGGGGGTGTGAACGGGCGAAGAAGAGGGATTCGGCGGGGGAGAGAAAAGAAAAAAATAGGTTTTGTTAAACCTAGCTCGATACCAACTTAGAATAGGGAAATTGTATTAGATGCATAATCTGTTGTACACAATATACAGACTATATATAGACAATAAGAAACCCTAAACTAGAACATAATAGAAAATATACTAAATATTACAATAAAACTGTTAGTCATTCTGAAACTATAAATGTGTACCATAACTGCATTCCGATGCAAAGGACTGTAGGTATCGGGTTTCAAGCTACATAATGTTCATTGACGGGTTCTTTTCTTCCAATGCGAAATATTCCACACCTGATGATAGCTGGCATAGTTCCAAGATGGAGTCTCACAGATAGAAGAAGTTGTGTTAAATTACTTCTTTAGCTCCCTTAGTTCATGCATAGATCCTTGATTAATGATTCAAACTCAAAACTTACAGTGAATAGATTTAAATTTAATGTATGAAACCGATAACACAAAAGTGAAACTATGGTACAAAAGAATCATGCTAGGTTTAGAGAACTTATACTAAGTAGCTTGGTTCCCTTATCACAATATGCTAAATTCAGTTGAATTTATACCTGAATATTTTGCTACAACTTACAAGTAGTCCTCCTCGTTGTTCGACCCACACTGATATCCCGGCAGATTTAGAGGCCAATGACCAATGTCAAAAGATATACAAGTCCTCAAAACTCCAAAAACATCTCATTACAAAAGCATCTCATCTCAAATGGACCATACCGAGCTTGAAAGGGAAAAGGAAAATCAAGATGCAAGTAAGAATTTTAAACTTACTAAAGAAAAGAAGGCAAACAGAGTGTAACCATAAATAAAGTAAACCGTCTCATACATTTGGTCCAATTCACTTTTACGTATCAAGCATTAACATTTGAAAATATTGGTCCCAAACATTTATGTCCATAATTTTTTTGGTCCCAATTTACTGTTCCGTCAACTTTTTCATTTGGTTGACCGTTGAGTTACTATTATCAGAGGTATTTACGATATTTCAAAATTTTTGAATTTTAAAATGTAAAAAACAAAATAATAATTTTTTAATAGGCAACCGCAGTATGCAGGTGGCCGAATACTGCTGACGTCATCAACGGCCGATGTGACATCAGCAACGGCAGGGATGACATCATCAGATTGAAGAAAATAAAATGCTCTTGGAGAGGATCGAAATCAAGACCTCATGCATGCATGAACACAACGAGAAATCATCAGGCCACGTACTCGGCTCGTTTCAGAATTGAATAGGCTCAAGTTCGGCTCGAACTCAGTCAACTTCGAATTCAAGCCGAATTTTTACCAAACTGTTTGCGAGTAGCTTGGTTCGTTGACAACCCTAATTCCAGTTCAAAATTCTTATAAATTATAAGCACTCGTATTTACCATCTTTATAGATTTAAACGTTGTCATTTACGAGAATTTTTATCATTAAAATCGATGATTCAACCACTCATCAAATGGACAATCAACTAAAGAATAGTGGTAGATATATCCTTCAGGGACACAGTATCTAGTTTTGAGTGTTAACAACCTTTTATATAAGGTATGTTTACGCATTTGGCCAGGTCAACATTTGGTCATTAACATTATCACTTGAACTTCAGGTTCATATCATTGAGGATCTGATGAGATAATGATGTTGTCTATTGTATTTATGAATCGGCTGTTTTAACTTGTCCCACTGATGCTGGGATAACTAATTAACTTGCTAAAATAGTGATTAACCAATCGAGCAGTTAATAAATTTTACTTTCGAAGTAATTGACTCGTCAAATTAATACGATCAATCTATCGAGTAGTAAACTCATCACCAATAATATGGAAAACTGGAGTTTCAAAATCCAGCATATATTCTTAACCTCTTCTTGAGGATCCATCTTTGTGTGCATTGTGGAGTTCTTACTCTTTTAAAAGTAAAGTATATCGCTGCCCTGCTGGAGGCTACAATGAATTTTCAAATTCAAAATAGTGGATTTGGTAGAATAATGTCTATCCTTCTTTGATACTTTGGAGAATATAATATATCTACGTGTACTTTCTCCTTCAAATATTCTCTTGTCCTTTTGTGAGCAAAGTTCATTTACAGTTACTCTTTCAGAGGTAATGATGAATTCACTGTATTTGTTCTTCATGAATATTTATTTGTTTTCACTCTCTAGATTAATTATACTCTACATAAATTTTCATCTAACTTCCAAAGCAATTTAATGGTAATTTCCATCTAATTTTACCGTTAAATGCTTTCATTGTGAAAAAGTAACAATAGCACCTTCAAGGTGATTATCATAAACATCCCTACTAATATCGTTAACGTCATCGTTAACATCAAAAACCTTTTGAATTTTTTTTACAAAGAGTAACAAAACATTCTTGGAACAAAGTAAGCACGCAATAAGTGATCTTTTATGCTACAAAAAAAAAAAAACACTTGCTATCTCTTACCCATTTGCTTAATCAACTTCCCAACTTCTGGTAGATTGAGTGATTTGTACAATTTTAGTTATCGCATTTACTTCAAGAAATGCTATAATCCAACTTGGACGACTCTAATAAGTTTTACAACAAAAATTCAATAGTTTATTTAATGCCGATATCAAATTACTAATTCAAGAGTATATTGGGTTTTATTCGTACAGCAGGTGTGAGTCTTATGACCTTTCATGCCACAATAATTACCCTTACCGTGTGTGGTTCTTTTCATTTTCTAACAGCTTTCTTGTTAGTGCTTTTACCATTTCTGGTGGATCATAGTATTTTTTTTTTCACAACATGTGAATGTGTGCAGTTTTAATTGCAACGCGACTAGATTATGTTTGTTTATTGTACACAGCCCTGATGCTCAACTACATTGTTGTCGCATTCGCTTCAGGGAATACAGTCTAGTTTAGATGAGTCTAATAATTTTTCCTCAAATAACTAATAGCATGTGATGTTTTGGGCATTAGAAGTCTTCCCTACGTGCCTCACGCGCCCCCAAAAGAACCCTCTCGCATTCCAGAAATTCTCCCAACCCCCAACCTTCAACGCTGCAATTGATGTCGAAGCTTTGTGATTCTTCAAGTCTGAATTAATTTGGCTTCTCCAAATTAATACCAATCGAGCTAGCCCAATAATCATCCAGCTCTGAATCAGCCACATCTCGAACAATCAAAGAATGAAGGGAGCTTTAACAATCCAACAATTCTGATCTAGTGGACGGATTCTTCAAAGTGAAATGTTATTTGTGCCTCGCCTTATGTTGCATCTGATGATGCTGCTATATCAAATCAATAGAGTTTTTACTCTCGGAATCTGATAATTACCTTGACTTTGAATGCCTAAATTTTCCAAATCATTGCAGCTCTGCAACTGATGGGGTTGTCCCTGTTCAGACAACAATCAAGCGCCAATCAAAGAAGCTTTTCTTAAAGTCACAGATTCTATCTCGAAGGCTTGGTGTTTGATAATTTTGTGGGTCTCACGCTTTCTAAAATTGGGTACTTCTGATGGAAGAATTGCGGATTGCTACTCATGGAAAGGTTAATAAATATCTCTCTCTTGCCAAATATATACTGCAACAGCAGAATTCCTTACAAATTTCAGCTTTGGGTTTTGCCATCCCAAAAGCAACAGCCATCAGAGAATTACTTAAATGTCATTTTCTTGATCTTCAACAAAATTTATCTACTAAAATGACAAATGGGATGTCTACCATTTCCATGACTTTGAGCAAAGCTGCATCTCCAGAAAGGGGGTCTCCAACTAAAGACTCTCCAATGAAAAGGTAACCAAAAGAAAAAGAAGCATAGTGGTACACATGAACGTTTTCCTTGTAAGCAGAGAGAGCAAATGATTTGGAGGCCAATATCCACTTCCAAACCTGACGATGCTCCTGTTGAGGATAATATTTCTAGTTCGGTTTCAGCAGAGCCCATGGATTTAGTACATGAAGCACAAATCGTATCTACAGTACCACAGAAGGCTGTTGATCCGGTGAGCACAATAAACTTACCACTCATCAACAAGACTATTGCCCATTCCGTCACCTTCCACAAAACAATGATAGGCAGACCCCACAGGAAGTGGAAACGCTCCTCTAGTAAATCTTCCTCAGTTGGTTTTTCAAGCTCTCGTCATTTTTCTGCTGGTGGTAAAAGGAAGTCCCTTGAGGTGGACCATACGCATACCCATATTACACAACCTTACAAAAGGAGGCTCTTGGTCTCACAAAGTAGCCAAGGTTTAGAGGCCTTTGGTACTGCCCAGACTATGGTGCCTGGTAAGTTCTCTACCTTTCTGAAGTGTTTTGCGGCGGTTGAACCAGATCAACTGCCTTTGTTTCCATGAATATCCTTTCTTGGAATTGTAGGGGCATGAATAATGCCTCATCCAAATATGTATTAGGTAGATTAGTTAAAAATTATAAGCCTAGTATTTTGTTTGTGATGGAGACCAAGACTAGTAAGGTTAATGTGTTGGCTTGGCAACAATCCTCTATTTTTAATCATTCTGTCATAATAGATCCTGTAGGATTTAGTGGTGGTTTGTGTCTTTTTTGGGTTGATGGTGTTCAGTTACGTGTGCTTTATCAGAATGCCAATGTAATAGTTACTAAGGTTAGGGAAACTACGGGCCTGGAATGGCTGGCTATTTTTCTGTATGGTCCCCCTTCGCAGCAAGACACGGCTGCATTTTGGTCACATTTAAATGGGATCATCCAGGGCTTTAATTACCCCAGTATCTTGTTAGGGGATTTTAATCAACTCTTAGATCAGGAGGATAAATTTGGTGGGCGTCCAGTTAGGCCTCAAGACACAAGAACCATACGGAAGCTACTGTCTTCTAATGACTTAAGGAATTGAAGCATTTGGGTTGTTAGGATACATGGACAAACAAGAGACAAGGGCATGAGGCAATTTTTGAAAGGTTAGATCGTGCTTTTGTCAACAAGCAATGGCTTACCACTTTTAACAAGGCTGTCATGCGGAACCTTCCAATCATGAGCTCGGATCATGGCCCAATTCTTGTGGAACTTAAGCAAAAATGCTCTCAGAAGAGACATAAAAAATTTGACCAGTTCTGGGTGAATTGTCCTTCTTCAAAGGATTTTGTAACCCAAGCTTGGACTCATTCTCCACTTCATATTGATAGTCCCCAGGATAGCCTCTCATTCTGACTGGATCGAACTTTGTCTAAACTCCATCAGCGGAGTAAAAGGTGTTATGGCAACCTAGACACTCTAGTCTTCAAGTTGACTGAGAATCTGGCACAAGTTCAAATGCAATGGGAACGAAATAAATCAGATGAGCAGCTTAGCATGCAGCTGGAACAGCACCGAGTGGACTTGGAGGAAGCACTACAGCTACAACAAGATTATTGGCATCAGAGGGCCAAGCTTAACTGGTCACAATTTGGAGACAGAAACACCAAATTCTTCCATAAATGGGTTGCTAGAAAGAAAGGGAACAAATGGATCACTGAGCTACGTGATGCTCAGGGTATGTGGGTTGAAGAACCTGATCAACTTCGCTCTCTGCTTCTAAGTCACTTCTCAAATATTTACATGTCAGTGGAATCAAGCTCTCAGAATTCTCAGTCTTCCTCATTCCTCACCAGTCTTCTTACAAATGTGAGTGAATCTTTGACGTCAGATCAAGTAGCTCAGTTAGATGCTCCATTTACCATGTCAGAAGTGTGGTCTGCCCTCAAGCAAATGTCTCCTTGGAAGTCTCCTGGTCCTGATGGGATGCCAGTGGGATTCTATCAACATTACTAGAGCATCATTGGTTCGGATGTCCAATCCTCAATTCTGGATGCTTTCAATACTATGCATTTTCCTCCAGAATGGAACCTGACTTATTTGGTCCTCATTCCTAAGACTTCTATTCCGACGACCCCAAATGACTTCCGTCCAATCAGTCTGTGTAATGTCAAGTATAAGATCATAGCAAAGATGATTGCAAATCGTCTCAAACATGTTATGAATGATCTTATTGATGAGAACCATAATGGATTTGTTCTAGGCAGAAACATCAGCGAGAACATTCTTATTGCTCATGAGGTCATTGAATGCATAAGGAAGCAAAAAGGTGAGACAGGTTTGGCTGCCATCAAACTAGATATGAGTAAGACCTATGATCGAGTCTCCTGGTCTTTCTTACAGGCTGTCCTTCACAAGGCGAACTTTCCTCCTAGACTACTTTCTTTGATCATGCACTGTGTGACTTCAGTCTCCTATTCCCTCCAATTAAATGGTGAAAGTTTTCCACCCTTCTCTCCAAATAAAGGATTGAGACAAGGATGTCCTTTGTCTCCATACTTGTTTATCCTTTGTCAGCAGGTCCTTTCTTCTGCCATTACATCAGAGATCCACAACTTTCCAGGTTTAGGAGTGAAAATCAGCCGCCATGCACCCAGGGTGAGTCATCTCATGTATGCGGATGATAGTTTCTTTTTCATTGAGAGCAAGGATTCTTCTATTTTAGCTTTAGCAGGATTACTGGAAAACTACACCAACTTCTCTGGCCACCGCATAAATTTCCACAAATCTTTAATCCTCACTAGTGCTAATACAAGCCCGGAAATGAAGACCTTCATTCATTCCATTCTCAAGATCCCTGCGGGACAGTTTCACAGTAAATATTTGGGAATGCGTCTTGACTTCAAGGAGAAGAAGACGACTATCTTCAAGGAATTCACTTCAAAAATCAGCAGCAAATTTGCTTCCTGGAAAACCAAACTTCTATCATTACCTAGTCGAGTCACCTTGGCCAAATCTACCTTGTCCTCCATGTTGGTGTACCCAATGGGAGTATTCAAGCTTCCTGTTCACACCTTGCATAAGGCTGACCAGATTATGGGTAATTTCATTTGGAAGGGAGATAAACAGGAACATAAAATTCATTGGAGAGCATGGAAGAAAATTACAAAATCTCCTTTTCTTGGTAGTTTAGGTCTCAAAGCTACAAAAGAATTCAATCAAGCACTCTTAGCCAAACATGCATGGAAGTTAATCTCTCAACCCCACTCTCTCCTGGCTAGACTTTTTTGTGCCAAATATTGCAACAATGGCACTTTTCCTCCGGTACAACCTCCCAAAACTTCCTCCTGGGATTTCAAGAGTATCATGTGGGGAGCTAAACTGCTGCAGAATCATACTAAATGGAAGGTAATCTCAGGCAAGGATATCCATATATCAGCAAACTGGATTCCTGATACACAGAATCCGATTGGAGTTCATTCCATTTCAGCTATGTCCAACTTGACTGTGGACCATTTTATTCATCCAAATGGTCAATGGAAGATTCGGGCTCTTAGGAATTTTCTTTCCGAATCATATTATCTCCCGCATTAGTGGGATCTTTATAGATCCGGCTAAACTACATCAAGAGGATAAGCTCCATTGGACACTTACTGACCATGGGAATTACACAGTCAAATCCGGGTATCAATTGGCCATCAACGCCCTCCTGCCACAACCCGTACCAAGTCCAGCAACTCAGAATGCAGATAAATTAGCTTGGAAATGACTATGAAATTCTAGAGTTCAACCTAAGCAAAAGTTTCTCTTCTGGAGAGCAATACTCAATGCTCTTTCTACTCGGTCAGAACAATACAAAAGGGGAGTTCAAGTGGACTCATTATGCTCCAGATGTGGTAGGCAGGAGGAGGATAGCTTACACTTTTTCTTTAAGTGTGAAGCCTCTCGGGCCATCTGGGCCTTGGCTTTTCCTCAGTTTGGCTCGATATTCAATTCTACATATGACTCCTTGCATCAATGGTTCATTCAGTAGACTCAGTCTCATCCAAATAAAGAGGAGGTTGATTTGTTTTTAATCATCAGCTGGAGGATCTGGCTGGAACGGATGATAAAATTTGGAGAAACCAATCTCATGATCCGGCGGTATCTTGGAGACTTATCCATAATGAAGTCACTCTCCACAAGAAAAGCCTTGGCAGACTGATAGTTGGAAGACCTTCTCCCAACATAAAATTCTTACTACCACCGAGGGGTCCGACTGAGTCCTTAGTCATTTGTGATGGATCGTTTAGCAATCAAACACGCAAAGCGGCTGGTGCTTGGAAGATACTATCACATCATGGTATGGTGATGCAAATCAAAGCGGTGGACCTAAGTGTGTTCTCTCCTTTTCAAGCCGAGGCAATGACTTGTCTCTTGGCATTGAAAGAGGCGTTACATTTAGGGATCACTCGACTTTAAGTTTATACGGACTGTGAAGTCTGACTGGAGATTTACGATCTGCTTTAATACCTTCTGAGGCCCAGGAGGTAGTTTCTTTGTTAGTAACTAGTATTTCCTTATTTCAGTCTTGCTCACTGATTAAAGTGAGTAGAGAAGATGTTGTAGAAGTTCATAATTTAGCATTCCATAGAATGCGATGTAATAGGTCAGGTACTTCTTAATTAATATACAAGTACCTTTCAAAAAAAAGATGAGTCTAATATAGTTGCAACCAATCGACTCAATAATTTGTTTAATGCTAACAAAAAAAGTAAATTGCTACTTCACGAGCAATTTTATTTTATTGTCATTAATCTTTCACTTCGGGTGAAAAATTATATTCTATACGTGACCTTCATAATAGTAGATTCATTGTCTATAATATGGCTCATAAAAAAAGTAATTGTCTACTTGTTTTAGGAAGTAAAAATTCTCAAAATTAAGAGATGTCATGATTTGGCTTAATAAAATCATATCGGTAAATTTAACAAAAATTACTACAAACAGTGTACTGTGTAATCCCCAACCAATTGAGTCTAACTAAATCACAAAAATCTGTAACCAAGTATATTAATTAGTTTGCAAAATTAAAAATTGATAATTCCGAATTGTTAAACAAATAAAAACCCGTGCCCACGCCGAAGTCAAATTCTTAAAAAAAAAAAAAAACCGTGCCCCTATCAGACTCTGCAGGAAACAAAATTTGTAAAGAAAATTTATTTGCAGTTGGAGAACAAAAAGAAAGCCTCGTACACACTCAGTAGGTACACACACATGGGCACACATAATGACATAAGTACACATGCAAATAGTTCAGAAAAAACATTTGCTTTGCTTTTCCTGCATAAATATTTTACTAAACAACTAATTAACTGATCTCTTTGACCAAATAAATGTTTTTCATTTGAATTAATGTAAAAGAAAACAAAGACAGACAAAAAAACAATCCTCTATTGGGCATAATATTAATAATTCGGCATCAGGAAACTGAGCAAAAGCAAACTGGTGATATCATGCTAAAAAAAAAATCAACGAGGCAATGTTAACACAAGGCCTAATACGGACCGTTCGAAACAAAGCCGACCGAAAGAATAATAATCGCACAACCATTTAAAAAGGAAATAAAAATCTGACGAAAACAATACATACTAATTTTACTGAGACTTCAGACCTTTAAAATCAATACACACCAACTTCAGGCGATGATAAAATATGGAGCTCTTTGCCTAGACTTTTATGCCAATAGCCCCAGCTGAAATTTTTTTAAATACCCCTAATGTATTACTAAAATTAAAAATTTATCCTTAAACTTCAAAATAAATATTGTTTTGCCCCAGTAATATTTACATATAATAGTTTTGCCCCACTTAAGGGTAAGGGCTTGGCTCCGCCCCTGCTTTATGCTAATAACGTATTATAAAATAAATATAAACTATAGAAGAAAAACAATAGAGAGAGAAAGAAAGTATTCATGTGCATCTTATTTTGTAGAGACTGGTGTCTATTTATAGACAAAATAGGTGCAGAGATACGAGTCACAACTATGAGTTCTAACTAAAAAAATATCTCTATATATGGAATCCTAATATAATTCTTCTACTTTGTGGATATCCACATTATTAATATATTTATAACGAAAGTGAATTATATATGAAAGTTATTGTACTCGACGAGATCTCTCTGATAAAATCAATATTGAATTTTTGAAAAATAAAAATAATTAGAATATTTCGGACAGAAATGAAGAAAGTATTGTGTTGGATAGTTAGTACAAAAATGTTGAATAAGCACTAAAAAACCTGCAAAAATAAAACAATGCAAGAAATTTATGTCCAACATTCCACCGATATATTGGGTTTTTAGGCTCCAACCGATTTGTAGCATAGAGTGGCCAACATTGCATTGGAAATTTTGACCTGTTAAATGTATACGAACATGGACTTGAGAGTTTTGTAGTACCGGATTGGATGATTAGCACAAAGTTAATAGATATTCAAATCTATAGTACATCTTTAGGGGTTGCGAGTGAACGTATATATGATTGGGTTGGAATGAAGCAAAACTCAGGTAATTAACAATTTAACACTGGAATTTTAACAGACAGTAATGGGTAAAAAAAAAAGCTGGAAAATTGATGATAAAGCACACAAAGACACTTGTGAATTCACACACAAAGATAGTACTTGACACTTATTAAACTGGACTGAATTCACACACAAACTACAGAGGATCCACGTATGATAAACCATAATATATTATACAAATAACTAAAGCCAAGACACTAATTATTATTTAAACTGAACTAAAATTCAAACACAAACTACGTACAGAGGATCCATGATGAAACATAACAAGTTATACAAATAACTAAACCGAAGAGATCGAAAGAGACGAAGAAAACCCTTGCAAATATCCTGAAAACAATCGGAGGAGGATGACGCTTAGCAGATGATGCCTTTTCCCTCCCTCATCGTCCTTTTCCTTTTTTGCTTCCTCCACTCCATTCTCCTTTTCCTTCTTCACTCCTTTCTCTTCTTCCTTCTTTTCTTCGTTCTCGGCCGCCTTCTTCTTATCATCTTCTTCCTATTCTTTCACCATACGTACACAGTCCTCATAGTCTCCTTGTTTTGGGTCATCCTTTGTCATTTTCTCGTCTGAAGACAATGATGATGATGACGAGGAGGAAGAGGAAACCATTCGATATACAGTCACGGTGCATCTTTACTGAGATATTGACAAAGAGTTTGCAGTTTAAAATGAATATATAAACAGTATTAAACTGTTTTTTTTATTTGTTGGTACATCATATTTGTCCATTTGGTGCTGCTTATCCATCTTTTTATGTTCAATATCCATTTTTTTGTATTTATGATTTTTTAAAAAAAAAAAAGAGAAAGGAAAAAAATGGTTGGATAGCTGGTATTCTTATATAGAGTACAAACTGGTTGGATAAACAGTAAAAAAAAATTAGATAGTCAGTATAAACTAGTTGGATAATCAATTCAAGCAAACCGGTCAAATATTTTCATAAAAAAATGGTTGGATAAACAATACCAAACAGTTGGATAATCAATATAAACACATTAGACAAGCAATTTTTTTTTTTTTTTGTTTCTTATCCACCAATATTTATGCATATCCAACAGTTTTATAATGCTTACCTATGTCTAAAATACTTAAATTCAAAAGTTTGTAACTACTACAGTTTTGTAGTGCTTATCCATCATTTTTTGATGTTCATCCAACACTAATGTAACACATATCCAACAGTTTATATAATATTCGACCATCTCTAAAAATGTTAACATTCAACGTCATTTATTCTCACAAAAATATCAAAGTGATCGTACATTCCTATTTAGCCAAAAAAAAAATGATGGATAAGTAATACCAAATGGAGGGATATGCATTACCAAAACAATAGATAATGATTTTTAACAAATTGGACAATTATTTTTATTAAAAAAAACTAAATAAAAAGTTATTGAAGAACAATACCAATGAGTTGGATAATCAATATAAACACATTGGACAACTTTTTTTTAATAAAAAAAGGGGGGAGAAATGATTGGACAAACATTACAAACCTGTTTGAACAAATAGTAAAAATGATTGGATAAACAATACAAAATGGTTGGATAATCAGTAAAAAGAAAACTGGACAATGATTTTCATAAAGTTTTTTGTTTTTTTTAAAAAATAGTTAGAGAATAGTGCCACAGAGTTGAATAATCACTATGGACACATTATACAACTATTTTTTAAAAAAAAGAAAAAGAAAAATTATGTTGGACAAGCAGTACCAAGCAGTTGAATAATTAGTACAAATATATTGGACAGATATTTTTTAAAAAAAGAAAATATTAAAAATTGTTGAAGAAGTATTACCAAGAATATGGATAATTAGTGTGAATACATTAGACAAGTAATTTCGCAAAAAAAAAAAAGAAAAGATAAAAAAATGATTGGATAAGTAATAAAAACTGATTGGATAATCTTTCATAAAAAAGAAAATAAAAATATAATTGGAGAATAAATGCCAAATAGTTGAATAATCTATATGAATACGTTGGACAAACATTTTCTCAAAAGAAAAAAAATGATTAGACAAGATGTACAAATTTTTTTTGACAATCAGTAAATAATTAGATAACCAATACAAGACGATTGGATAATCAGTACAAACACAATGGACAAGTATTTTTATAAAAAAAAAAAAAAGAGAAAAAAATGGTTGGATAACTAGTACCAAATAGTTGGATAATAACTATGAATAAATTAGATAATCATGTTCTAAAAAACAAATGATTGAATAAACAGTATAAATAAAATGGATAATCAGTTCAAACCGGTTGGATAATCAGCATGAACACAATAGAGGGTTCGGCTAAAAAAATTTCTGAAAAAATTCGCGGACAAATATAATTTTTTTTTATTTTAGATAGACAGAACTAGTTGTTCCGAATTTACCAAATTCGAATCTATCCATTTTGTACTAGATTTGGATACCCAATAAAAATGATTCAGATTTGGCATATAGATTCGGATTTGGCAAATTCAAGATAACTATATTTGTTCACACCACTTTGGGACATATATTTTTGTCCAGGTTCTTCCAATAAAAATTATTTGGTTAAAAAGCTTACACAATGGATAAGCGTTTTCGAAAAAAAAAAAAAAAAATTTCTTCATTGCTTCTTATAAAATTTAAATGCTTTAAAGTTTTAATATAAATCTTGTTGGATAGATCTCGTCAAGTACTATAAATTATATATATATATATAATTTGTTTACAAATTCCTATTTTTCAAGTAGTTCTTTTTGAATCTTCATAGTTAATTAATCCAAATCCCTAGAAGGAATAATGAATTCTATCTAGAATTTTTCGGTAAAGAAAAAGAAAATACTAGTATGTATTTTTGCTATTGTTTTATAAATTAAAAAAAAAAAAAACATCTTTCTTTATAAATTGTGGGCTTCATAAGCTATAAACATTTGTAATCGCCCTCTAATTAAATTTGGGTGTAATGTCCTTTGTGTTTGAGCATAATACCAAGTAGTAATTGCTTCTAATTGGACACCCAAATCACTAATCTAGATTAATTTATACCGAGCATTGATCATGCCGCCCGTCGATGTGGGATCAATTGATGTACGCAATTAATTAGCGAAACCCGCTATCCAAGAGAAAAAACCCATCCACCCCGGCATCGATTCCCGGCTTCACGCCATTCGTGAGTTCATAATAAGAAAACCTTGTAAAAACCCCAAAATTTACAACCTTTCATCTGTTACCCTTTTGATTATGTTGAGTTTTGGCATTTGAACCATGGATCGGAAGGAGATGGATCGAGGGCAGAGCAGCTATGGATCATATTCATATCAATTGGTTGAATTGAATGAATGTAACGATGGATTGCGTAGCGATCATAATCAAGTTCGTTCCTTCACTGAAGCTTCCGCTTCACCGGGTCTCCCTCCAAATCAGGTCCGATAAGTAATCCGTTTTAATTTTTATTTTATTTTTGGTCCTTTTTGCAAAGTTCGTGATTTAGTGGAAATTCTGTTGGTTCTTTTTTTTTTTTTAAAGTAAATTTACTGGACTGCATTTCTAAGTAATTATGTAGTAGTAATGGGTTTTCAAAAATTAGTTTAGAAGCTTGGGCTTTGTTTGTTTTATTTTTTTAGTTGGTTTTTTCAGAATTAAATAATAATAATAACTGTCCCATCTGAGTATATTTTTTTACATTTTCAATAAACTTTTTTACATTCCTAATAAAAAAAACACCTAAAAACACACACTAAAGACACGAAACAAACATACTCTTGGTGTCGTGACTGCTTATTATTACCAGAGGTTGCGACATGTGTCTGTAGCGAACAGTTTCTGCAAAGTTGAAGACCATTAACCTTTTCCAAGTGACTGATATTTTTCATAAGTGGGTGGGTTTTAGTTGAAGTTGAATGCAAAGTTTTAGCTGGTGAAAAATGGCATTCTCATAGCACCCTTTAGATGTGTATGGAATCTATTGCTTGTGTACTACTATAGTAACCCTCTCCCGTTTTAATTAGTTACTGGCACATTGCCTACAGACTCAGGGATTTGACCTATATAAAAGAAATGAAGAGCGCAGAGTGAATTAATTGATCCAATAAGCACAGTCCAGTTTGGAGTTTTTTTTTTTTTAAAAAAAAATATAATTTGTACTGAAATTGGAAGTTCAATGTGGACAATCATTTTGGGATGGAGGGAGTGCTATCTTGTCTTGATTTTTTGATGAAATTTTGTATTATGAAACAAAAGGGTTGATACAGATAAAAAAAACGAATGATACATATTGGAATCATAAAGATTGATTAACCAAAATTGATGAGTGAATATATTTGATGCCATAGGAGAAGAAAAAAATAGAAGTTCAGAAGTAAAGATCTCACAGTTTATGAAACATGGTTGTTCTGTAGGCTGTAACCACCTCTTCCAAAAGTAAGCTGTAAGTTCCTACTTTCTTCTCCACTAATCACTACTATTGTTTGCCTCAGGGCTTAGCTCAATGCTTTATGTCCACGAGGCACAAAGATGCTTCTTCATTTGCTGCAGATTTTCTTGATTTTGCATCATCCAAATAGTTCTGATAGATATAAGAAAGGAAACCCCAAACAGCTAGAATTAGAGCTATCACTTTCACCCCATCCATTTTGTCATGGAAGAAAATCACTGCGAGAATCGGAATTGCAGGCAGGGAAATTGTACTAACGACATTGGAAAACAGGGAGGACACCTCAAAGATCAACCCAAGCAAACCCATTGATGAAATTTGCCATGAAATTGCAGTCCAAATCAAGGTCATGAAATATGATAGGCTGCTCTTTTCATAGCCTTCCAGTTCTTTTGGCAACTTTTTCCATTCTCCACTGGCGAAAAGTCCCACCACACAAATACAGCTACTAACAAATGAGGGCCAAATCTGCATATCCAAAATGGCATCAAATGTCTCCCTCTTGAGTACTTTCTTGAAAGATAGTTCTATCAGAGAAAGCTGAAGTGAGCACATAGCTGAGGCACCAACAGTGCATATGAATCCAACTATGTATTTCCTCTTGGAAACTTTTGTTGATGAGCCATCATCCGAATCTGGATGGACAGCAAGAAGTGAGGCTGATACGGTAAGGAGAACTAGCGAATTGAAGATCAATGCAGTGAATTTTTGTGAGTTTAGGAGGAAAGAGAACAGGGCATTGAAGGCTAATTGAGTGGCACATATAAGAGAATAAGTTGAAACAGGGAGGTCCTGAAGCCCATGTGAATACAGCAAATTGTCACCTGCTGAAAACACTCCAAAGAAAAGAAAAAGCAACAAAAGAGTGATCTTTGATGACTTGTGTCTTGGAAGAGGGTCATTGTTTGAAGAAGTGTTGGTAATTGTTGTAGAAACCCAGGATAGCGGGAAGAGAAATCTGAGGGGAATTATGACTGGGAAGCCTGCAGTTGTTACTAAGGTTGCAATCCATATGCTGTTTCCGCCATTATCAAAGTATAATCTGCCTAGAAGGGTAGCTGTAGATTGGCCAGCAAGAAGAAAATGGATGTATAAGGTTATCCGAAACCACCAACCATATTTCTTGAGCATAGGATATTGTTGCAGCAGACTGGCCGCCTTTGAGATCCTATCAGAAGAATTCATTTCCTTGTCTTCCACTGCCAGAAATTTCCAATTAGAAACAGAACCATATTCAGTCTCAAGATAAGGTTTCTCATATGTTAACAAAGGAAAACAGAGTTTTTGGAAACCATTTTTAAATTTTACCAAGAGATTCACAGTTCTTAAAGGGGTACTTCTCAGATGATTTGGAACTTTTCCAGATTACCAAGTACCAAGAAAGCATATGCAAGTTATGAGCTTTTCTTTTTTCGCAGTTACATAATAAGAGCAGAGAAAGGGAGAAAGTGTTTGAAGGCTCACCTCCCATTTGCTGCTGCTCCTTATCTTGGGTTTTCTCCACGGAAACTATTTGCTATAATTCTTATGAAAGATTTTTATGATCTTGCCTTTTTTCTAGTGTCACAAACATTTGAGATGGCCTGGCCCTCTAACCTTTCAAAATTAATTTTCTATAGTAAGTCCAGCTGAATCTTAAGGGACACCTGAGGCATTTTTGGACGGCAAATTATCCAGTATACCCGGGGGCACCGTGCCCCCCTCCTATTTTTTACATTTTTAGTCCTTATTGTACTTTTTTCTCAATCTTTCTATATTTTACACGTTTAGTCCCTGTGAGTTTTTTTTCTCTCTCTTCCAAAAAAAACATCTCTAATCTTTAAACGACCATATCTCCCAATCCGTGAAGAATTTGTGAACGAATTATATATGAAATTTATAGTACTCATCGAGGTCTATCCAACAAAATCCATAGTGAATATTTTTTCGGGCTTAAAAATGACTTAATTCTGATGGACAGAATAGGGCTGGATATCCAGTTTTACAAAATGGATAACCAACTTGTTCTAAATTGGTTATCCATTGTGTTCATGGTGATTATCCAATCGGTTTGAACTGGTTATCCATTTTGTTTCTACTGCTTATCCATTTGGTTATCCAACTTCTTAAGTCAAAATAAGTTGGTTATCCATCTTCTTAAACTGGATATCCAATGTGTTCATATTGATTATCCAATGCGCTAATACTGGTTATCCAATGGATTTACATGCTTATCTAACTTGTTTGTACTGGATATCCACTGTGTTCATGCATATCCAACTCTAATCTTTCAACGAGCATATCTCCCAATCCGTGAATAATTTGTGAACGAATTATATATGAAATTTATAGTACTCGTCGAGATCTATCCAACGAAATCCATAGTGAACATTTTTTCGGGCTTAAAAATGACTTAATTCTGACGGGCAGAATAGAGGTGGTTATCCATTTTCTATCTTTTTTTTTTGAAGAGTGAATGTCAAACATATGATTGGATAACAAGTACGAACCGAATGGATAATCACTCCAAACCAGTTGGATAATCAGCATGAACACAACGGATAACCATTTTTCAAAGAAAAACGAAAAACACATTTCTTCATTTCCTACCCGTAAAGTTTAAATGCATTTAAAGTTCAAAAAAATATTCAACATCGATCTTATCAGATAGATCTCGTCGAGCACTATAAATTTCATATATAATTCGTGTTATAATTCTTTACGGATCAAAAGATACAAGGAACATAACAATATGAATGTGAAATAAGTTGGTTATCCATCTTCTCAAACTGGATATCCACTGTATTCATATTGATTATCCAATGCGCTAATACTGGTTATTCAATGGATTTACATGGTTATCCAAATTGTGTTCATGCATATCCAACTCTAATCTTTCAACGAGCATATCTCCCAATCCGTGAAGAATTTGTGAACCAATTATATATGAAATTTATAGTACTCATCGAGATCTACCCAACGAAATCGACAGTGAACATTTTTTCGGACTTAAAAATGACTTAATTCTGACGGACAGAATAGAATAGAGGTGGATATCCATCTCTTTTTTTTTTTGAAGAGTGAATGTCAAACATATGATTGGATAACAAGTACGAACATAATGGATAATCAGTCCAAACCGATTGGATAACCATTTTTCAAAGAAAAATAAAAAACGCATTTCTTCATTTCTGCCCGTAAAATTTAAATGCATTTAAAGTTCAAAAAAAATATTCAACATGGATCTTATCGGATAGATCTCGTCGAGTACTATAAATTTCATATATAATTCATGTTATAATTCTTTACGAATCATTAGATACAAGGAAAGGAATAATATGAATGTAAAATAAGTTGGTAATCCATCTTGATTATTTATGTTAATACTGTTTATCCAACTAATTAGTATTATTTATCCAACCTGGTTTTTGTTTTTATTATTTTTTTAAAAAATAATAAACTAAGTTGGTTATCCAACTCGTTTGTATTGGTTATCCAATTATTGGTTTGTACTGGATTATCCAATGCGCTAATGCTGGTTATCCAATGGATTTACATGGTTATCCAAATTGTTTGAACTGGTTATCCACTGTGTTCATACTGGTTATCCAACTCGTGCATACTGGTTATCCAACTTACTGGATATCCAACTTATTCTGCCCATCAAAATTTAGTCATTTTTAAACTCAAAAAAAATATTCGAAATGGATTTCATTGGATAGATCACGACGAGTACTATAAATTTCATGTATAATTCGTTCACAAATTCTTCACGGATTGGGAGATATGCTCGTTGAAAGATTAGAGCTGTTTTTTTTGGAAGAGAAGGAAAAAAGTCACAGGGACTATCCTTGCAAATCATAGAAAGATTGATAAAAAAGGTACAATAAGGACTACTCGTGCAAAAAATAGGAGGGGGGCACGGTGCCCCCGGGTATACTGGATACAGCCTCTTTTTGGACTCCAGAAGCTAAACCATCTGTCTTAAAATAATTGTTGAATTTGGATTTTTATTTGGGCAAATAATCCTGAATGTTTAGCCCTTTGCCAACTAAGTCACCACAAAGTTTTTTTTTGCAACGAATTTAATCATTAAAAATAACTTATTCAACACTTTTGGTTTTTGACAAGAACAAAATAGTAAATTAAGGAAAAATTATAATAGAACATCATATTTTACTCATCATCTTTGGACGAAATTTTAATTTCACTTCAAGTTTCAGAAACTCATTTTAAAGTATTTTCTGGCCAGAGGTCTCTGGTTCGAACCTCTCATAACGTAAGTTTATTTTCCTTTTCCCAGTGCTCGTTGTTTGTCCTTAAGTTTTAATTTAAGTGTACAGTTATACCTTTGAGAGGCCCACCAATACATGTGGCAAAGGCAAATGAATGATGTATTTATGAGAAAAAGAAAAGAAAATTCTAATCTTCGGTTTTTTTTTTTGAAAAATAAGAAATTTTTTCTTTAGATCTCATTTCATCCATTTATTTCTTTTTTTAAAAAAATTATTTTTGCTTATAATCCAATCTTTAGAAGACCAAAAAAGAACCTCCACCGCATATCACAAGGTGTCATGGTATGGGCTTCATCGGCTATACACATTTGTAATCGCCCTAATTAATTGAGGGTGTAATGTCCTTTGTGTTAGAGCAGCATACTACTAAGTAGTAATTGCTTCTAATTGGACATCCCGAGTCATTAATCTGGACTAATTTATTCTGAGTATTGACCCTGCATCCGGTCGACGTGGGATTAGCTCGTCATTAAATTACTACTGAGAAACCCGCCGCCTAATTGAAACCACAAAAAACAACCCATCCACCCGTGATCGACTCCCGCTTTACGCGATTATTGCGCTCTTAAGAAAACCATTCAGAAACCCCAAATTGCAACCTTCATATATTACCCTTTTCATTTTATTGAGTTTCGGCATTTAAAATCTGGATTGGAATCTTCCAAAACAGCCAAACTGTAGTTGAATGAATATGACGATGGATTGGATACCGATCAAAATAAAAGTTGGCTCCTTTGCTGGATGGAACATCCACTTCACGGAGCGGCTAATGGAAGAGATGATTTCGGCTGTGTCTTTGCGAAGTAGATGATGCGGTGACGGTGATCCGCAGATAGAAACGTCAATTCAGGTGGGTTATTAATTTGGGTCTAATTTTTCTCTGTATATTAGCAAAATTAATCGTGGGAGATGTCCGTCGCCGGTGACTCTTTACTCATTTTTCTCCTTTACCTTTTCGTTACGGACATGTCGGTTTCTATTTAGATTGTGCTAGACAATTTTTTCGTGCTAAATTCTATCTCCTTTATCCTTTGTCTGAAACAAATCTATATCGACATTAGATTGGTTTGGTGTTGGAATTCGGATAATTTATCCATTGTTCTTATGTCTTTATGTTGCCGAGTTATTATGTCGGCTTTGATTTAGAAGTCTGAAAATGGTACTCCCTCCATTTTTTTTTTTATGTCTTTATAGAGAAATCATCAAAACCAGGAATATATTAATTAATATAGTTAGAATACAAAAATACCCTTATTTATTGTCTATACAATTCATCACAAATCAATAAAAATTCATTATAAATATTGTTTCATTTCTAATGTAAGGGTAATATTGGCAAAAAGTGGTCAAGTATGCCTCGATTTGTAAAACGACATATATTTTTTAAAAAATTTACCAAATCCTAAAACGACATATATTTCAAAATGGAGGAAGTAGGGTCTAAGATTTTTAGAGCCTAAAGGTTACACCAAAATCCCATATGAACAATTTTAATTGTATATCAATGAATTTTATAGAATTGCACACAAATGTGCCATTTGTGACCATGCATGTGAAGATGATTAATTTCAAAACATTGTCCCCATGTTTGCTAACTTGTTGTAGGATTGCACTCTTGGCCTCGGAATTCCATGGTTAGCGTATTGTAGTGGTGGTTGAGCATCTTTTTAATTTTTATCATGTCATAGAATGGAACAATCAAATGATTCTAAATTGCAATTAATCTGGTGTGTTGTTATAAGCTGCTGATCTTTTCATTATTTCTTAAAGAAGAACTGCAATGAACGATTATTCTTCTTATCTTCTTGTTTCATTAGATGTCTATATAGGGAGATCTTCATGATACCATCGACTTCAGTTTTGTGCTGGCCGCCAACTCAAGAAAGAATGTTGTTGTTACAAGGCTCAATGTGTATGTAGAATGTTGTTATTTACGCTCTTAATTACAAAAATTCAATTGTTTTTTTGTTGCAAATTGTCCTTGCACTCCAAAAGAGGTGTTGAACCAATTACCCTTGATTCTGCGTAATTGCAGAATAACAAAGCCATGAAAACCAAACAAATCACGATCCTCTTGTCCATCATGTTCTTCGTATGGACAGCACGGAATACCTATCAAATCAGAAAAAGAGGGGGAAAAGAAAAATACAAAAGAAGCGCAAGAGTCAAAGACCGAAAACCCTAGTAGTAAATGTTTATATTTGTGATGATAGATTTGTGTTTTTGATTTGTAACCGGAGTGCTTATTTATATACAAAGGTACCTACGGTAGAGGAGAATAGCTATTAGGAAATTTTCCTTTAAATTAACACTATCATACGGACGGGAGAGGAGAATAGCTATTAGGAAATTTTCCTTTAAATAAACACTATCATTGAGAATATGGGCAATTTTTTCTTTTAAAAAATAGTTATTAAAAAACTACTAATGAGAGAATATTAGAAATTTCCTAAAATTCTAATTTTTTACAATATCCTATTTACGCCATGAATCAACTCATTCACTTTTTTATCTAACTAAACAAGCACCAAATTATTAATTATTAAGCCGGTTCTCAAACTTTTGATTGCCACTTTAGCTGGTTACTTTTTCCCTTTTTCTTATTAATTATGAAATTACCTATCAATTGGTTGAATGTTAATGTGACGATGGATTGGATACCGATCATCCCCTGCTAGATGGAACAGCCAATCAGGTCAATAACTAGTGCATTTTTATTTATTTAAAAAAAACTGTGATTGGGTAGAAATGCTATTGCCTTTTAGTTTTTAGTGTTTTTTTTTTTTTTATAATTAGTGGACTGCATTTCGAAGTGATTATATAGTACGTTGAGAGGGCTGGTGTCGTTGTTGTTCCCAAGCATTAGAGAGCTTGAGAAGTGAGCATTTAATACTCCCTCTGTCCCATAATTATTGTCCGATTTGAAATTTCACTTTTAATACAATTTGAACTAGAAATAAAAAGTTAAATTAGACAGTAATTATGAGACGGTGGAAGTATATAAATTTGTTGAATTTCTGCCCCAAGTTTGATTTTAGCTGCGAAAAAACGGCATTCATGTAGTCATGTTATCCTTTTGATGTATCTATTAATCATATATTTTGATGATAAGCGTCTCATTTTAATAGGTCACTTATATTACATATAAGTTTAGGCATTTATCATCAAAATGAAGTGTACGAGTGAATTCTCATTTAGTATTCACATATTATCTCTGTCCAAAAAAAAAAAAAATTTATATTGAGTTTTGAGTTTTGTGGTTTATCTTTTGGGATCGAAGGAGTATATTCTTGTGTCCTTTTTTATATGGATCAAACTTACTGGGAATACAGATTGATTAACCAAAACTGAACTTTGATGTCATAGGTGATTGGAGAAGGGCGGAAAAGATTGAAGCGTACATGTAAATAAAATGAAAGAACAAGGTTCATTTATTCAGTTAGCAATAAAATGTAAATCTTTTGCTAAAGAAGGAAGATCTTGTCCTCTGGTATATAACCACCACCTTGAAAACTAGTAAGCTGTGTGTAAAAATATCCTACTAACTACCATTCTTTGCCTCAGGTCAATCCTTAATTTCTACAAGGCTCAAAGATGCATCTTCATTTGCAGCAAATTTTCTTGATTTTGCATCATCCAGATAGTTCTGATAGATATAAGAAAGGAAACCCCAAATGGCTAGAATCAGAGCTATCACCTTTACCCCATCCATTTTGTCATGGAAGAAAATCACTGCAAGAATTGGAATTGCAGGCAGGGAAATTGTACTAATGACATTGGAAAACAGGGAGGACACCTCAAAGATCAACCCAAGCAAACCCATTGATGATATTTGCCATGAAATTGCGGTCCAAATCAAGGTCATGAAATATGATAGGCTGCTCTTTTCATAGCCTTCCAGTTCTTTAGGTAACTTTTTCCATTCTCCACTGGCGAAAAGTCCCACCACACAAATACAACTAGCAACAAATGAGGGCCAAATCTGCATATCCAAAATTGCATCAAATGTTTCCCTCTTGATTACTTTCTTGAAAGATAGTTCTATCAGAGAAAGCTGAAGTGAGTACATAGCTGATGCACCAACAGTGCATATAAATCCAATTATGTATTTGCCCTTGGAAACTTTTGTTGATGACCCATTATCCGAATCTGGATGGACAGCGAGAAGCGAGGCTGATACGGTTAGTAGGACGAGCGAGTTGAAGATTAATGCAGTGAATTTTTGCGAGTTTAGGAGGAAAGAAAACAGAGCATTGAAGGCTAATTGAGTAGCACATATAAGAGAATAAGTTGAAACAGGGAGGTCCTGAAGCCCATATGAATACAGCAAATTGTCACCTGCTAAAAACACTCCAAAGAAGAGAAAAAGCAAGAAAAGAGTGGTCTTTGATGGCTTCCGTCTTGGAAGAGGGTCATTGTTTGAAGAAGTGTTAGCAATTGTTGTAGAATTACTGGATAGTGGGAAGATAAATCTGAGGGGAATTATGACTGGGAAGCCTGCAGATTCAACTAAAGTTGCAATCCATATGCTGTTTCCGCCATTATCAAAGTATAATCTGCCTAAAAGGGTAGCTGCAGATTGGCCAGCCAGAAGGAAATTGATGTATAAGGTTATTCGAAACCACCAGCCGTATTTCTTAAGAATAGGATATTGATGCAGGAAATTAGCCGCCTTTGAGATCCTACTATCAGAAGAATTCATTTCCTTGTCTTCCACTGACAGAAATTTCCAATTACAAACAGAACCAAATCAGTCTCAAGATAAGGTTTCTCATATGTGAATAGAGAAAAACAGAGTTTTTGGAGACCATTTTATCACAAAGATTCATGGTTCTTGAGGCAGGATATTTCTCACAAACGTTCAATTTTTCCAGATTACTAAGTACCAAGAAAGCATATGCAAGTGTTGAAAAGTTTTTATTTTTTTCTTTTTGACAGTAACATAATAAGAGCTAAGAAAAATAGGAAGTGTTCGGAAGCTCACCTCTGATTTGCACCTGCTCCATATCTTTGGTTTTCTCCATGAAAACTATTTGCTGTGTCTTATGGACTATGGAGGATTTTATCTTCTTACGTTTTCAAGTGTTATAAACATCTGAGGTGGGCTGGTCCGGTAGCCTTCAATAATGAATCATCTATATAATTCTACATAATGAAGTCCAGCTGAATCTAAAAGGGACATGTTAGGCATTTTTTGACTCGACAAGCTAAACTTTGACTTGTTACTACATATGCCATATGGTTGACTCTTCCTCTTTCAAATATCTTCTTGCCTTTAAAACACTTTTTTTTTTAGTCGAAAATAATTTCCATTAGAAGGCTAGCTGCCTTGAACAAAAGACATACAAGCATCTACATAGTCCTGCTCTAAAAGTAAGGAGATACATGTTGGGACAACATCAAAAAAATATAAGTCCCCATTTTTTGCCAATGTCTCTTTTGCTAAGGCATCGACACATAGATTATTATCTCTAGAGGTTTGGCAAAATCGGACATCCCAGTTGTCTTGCAAAAAGGTCCTGAATGCATCTCAATTCAGGATCCAATGTTGTGACTCCTCTTAGGCTTTTGCATAGCTTCACAGCCAATTCGGAGTCAGATTCAACAACGACTTTTGATAGTTGAAGTTGTTTAGCAATTTTCAAGCTTAAACGGATAGCTGTCAATTCCGATGTCTCCACATTTTTTCCGAACAATAGAGAAGGCATGAAATGATTATAACATGTATAAACGCCCATAATATATTGTGTTACTGACAGGAAGATAACTCAAAAAGACTTGAAGCCACTTGAACTAAACTGTCAATAGAGAAGTCAAACATTACCTTGCGACAAAATTCAAATCTCATTTTATTTCTTGTCACTTTTTTTTTTTTTTGGTGAATCATTATATGTTACTCCTACTTGTGAAGTTAGTGATTTGAGACATAACAAAGAAACTGTAGCACAAACATATACATAATCGAAAGAAGAAGAAATTTTATTTTTTCCCATGAATGTGACCTACTTATCTTACAAATAACATGAACTTAATGCAATCATTATAATTCGACATATTCATTTTACAAATACCATGAACTTAACGCGAAAATTTATGATTTACATCGGTATATATTTGTTTTGGGAAAGTTAATCTTAACATTCCCACACAATTACTGTTTTACTTTTGAGTTTTGACCAGTAATTAATTTGGAAGCACAAAAGGTACGAGGGGTTGTCACACCGAAACAAAATATCTATAGTCACACAGCTGATGTGATGTTCCCTAATGCTAGAAATTACGTCTCTGTACTCTTCTTTGATGGATACAGCATGAGATATTGGACCTACATTTGTTTGTTGTCAATGTTATGTTGTCCCCATCCATAGCTGTTGAATGAATGGAGTTTACACATTATTTCGAACAACGGAGAAGGCATAATTAATATGTAAAATACGAACCCGTAATGTTGTGTCAATCACAGGAAAATAACTCAAGAAAGACTTGAAGCCACTTGAACAAAATTGTCAATAGAGAAGTCAAACAATATTACCTTGCGACAAAATTCAAATCTTATTTCATTGCTTGTCATTTATTTATTTTATTTTTTTGTGAATCATTGTATATTACTAGTGAAGTTAGTGATTTAAGACATAACGAGTTAACTGTAGATATGCCTATTAATTCATCTTACAAATAATATGAACGTACTGCGGAAATTATACTTTATATCGACATATATTCATTTTACAACATGAACTTAACGCGAGAAGTTATAATTCATATATCCATATGAATTTGTTTTGCGAAAGTTAGCTTAACATTCCGACACAATTACTCTTTTACGTACTTTCGAACTGTAATTCAGAAACACAAAGGTAGGACGTACGGGTAGTTTTCGGAAACAATGGGTTTGTACCCCGTTAACTTATTTTACCTCTTAAACACAAAACTCAATGTAAAACAAACAACTGTCCAAACAACTTTCTGATTTACATTTTAAAATCAAACTTGTAATATTTTGTTAGTGTAGTGACCATTTTTTGAATTAAAAATTAGTTCAGTAATCATTTTTGGAACTAAAAATTAGCTCATGAGTGACTAAATCTAAAACTTTGTACATTTTTGACCCATTGTTTAGTAATCATTTTTGAAATTCTTTTTTTACAGTGACTAAAATTGACACTTTTCAATTGTTTAATAATATTTTTCGTACTTAATATTTAAATAGAAAACAACTTTTTGCTAAAGATACTATTTAAACAATTTTTTAACCTCCCATCATTTTTTCCCACTTAAAACACTTTTCACATTCAAGTCGAAAATGAAACGAAACTGACGTCCAAACAAGCACAATATATCTATAATCACACAGTTGATGTGACGTTCCTTAACGCTAGACAGTAGAGATTACGTCTCTATACTATACTCTTCTTTGATTCTTTGATGGATACAGCATGAGATACTGGACCAGATATAGCTGTTGAATGAATGGAGTTTACTAGTTGCTTTTATTTGCTAGAGGTTACCGTGAGCTTTTTTTTGTCTTTTGTGTCTAAAGCCATTGACGGCCTCTTACGAACTTACCAACAATCCATCAATATACAAACTCTCGTTAACAAAACTCAACATATTCTCTTTTAGTAATCCCTCGTCTCATAATTATTATTTAATTTAGATTTTCATTTTTAGTTCAAATTGTATAAAAAGTAAAATCTTAAATTGGACAATAATTTTGGAACAGAGGAAGTATATTACAACATCCTCAGTAGTATAACATTATTATCCCGATTATATCCGAGTTAGGGCAATTCTATTAAATATTCCAATCCCCCTTTGCATGTGCGATGTCCGATTTTGAACAAGAAACACAATTAAAAAAAAAAGAAGCGGAAAACAAAAAATCAAACTTTGCTTATTAAGTTCGTTAAATTCGATTTGAAATTTAAAACAGTAACATCAAAACTAAATCTGTTTAAAGCTAGGCTTTAAACTAAAAGTATCAAAGGCTGAATAACTAGTGGTAGCAAGAACATATGTAAACCCTAATCTAAAATCATGATTGAAGAGAAGCATCCATCCATAGAGGATTATTAGGGAATATATATCTTGTCACCGCATTTACACCGCCACTCCTCAGGGAAGTAATCGGGAGGCGGCGATTGGGAACCGACCCGGATCTTGATCGGCACGCAAGGTGAGCACATGTTGCATGTCTCCGCTCTACAAATCGGCGCTCTTGAACCCATCCGGTGCTCAAGCAGGCTGCCAACATTATTATTGGCTCCGTCACTAGTGATTAGGGACCTTGATTCTGCGCCGTAATTACACAAGAACAAGGCCATCATCAAAACCAAGCAAATAACAATCTTTTTCTCCATTGTGCCAGGTCAGAATACTTCAGAAACAAAATTGGTGAAAATTGTGTTTGTGATTGTTGTTCTTGATCTATTACCCGGACAGGTCCATTTATACACAACTTTCTATTGAAAATATGGAAATTGCGTACCGAAGAGAGTATTCGGAAAATTTCCTGAAAAGATTATATCAATGACGATATCGGGAAATTTTTTTCTCTCATAAAGCAACTAAAAAATAACAATGATAATAAAAAAATAAAAAAATCAATCAAGGCGATCAATATCGGGAAATTTTCTGGTTAACAAAATATAAAGAAGAAGAAAGATAACGACCCATGCAATGAGGGAATATATATATATATATATATATATATATATTGTGAAATTTTCCTAACTTTCTACTGTTGTCTACAATAGAAGAACTACTAGTGATAATAATGTTTTATATTTTCCTAATAATAACTATTAATAATAATAATGTTTTATACTTCTGGTATGTCAATGACTTTCTTTTTCATAATTCGGCACTGGTTCTAAATTTTTACCAACCCAAAAAAAAGGACATTACCGTTGACATTCAGAGACAAAAAATAAAAAAATAAAAATTCAGTTGCCCGGATACAATACGAAATTGTTTATTGGTTAGTACTTTAGTTTTTCTTCTTTTGGTCAATAAGGACACTCAAATCTTGTAGACAAAGTGGTGACGTATTCTCGTGATGTATTAATTCAAAAGATTTAGGTGTGAGCCTCTTTTGATAGAATATATATAATGACAGAAACTTTAATTAGGGTTTCCGATATAGTCAGCTAGGGTTGTAACTTTATGTACCATAAATATCATGATGTACAACGTAAATAACACACAAAATTATTCTTTCATGGTATCACCCGTTCTTTACTGGCCTTTCGAAATTTAGGGTCTCCCCAGCCGCCTCCTTCATGAGTGCCGCTGCCCTTTCTTCTATCTACCTTTGGCCGCCGGCTCCTCCTACTTCTTTTCCTGTCGACTCTACCTCCATCAAAATAACAAACAAAAACCCCTTCTCTAACCTCTCTCTTCATTGGCCAAGTTACCAAAAAAAAAAAAAAAACATAACAAAAAAAAGAAACCTTCATCGGCCGGTCTGCTCTTTCCCTGCCGCCACAGCTGTCGGTCCTCTCTCTTTTCTGTCTCCTTTTTTGCTTTCTCGGCCGGTCACCTTCTTTGCTCTCTCTTACCGCCACCACCACACCTCTCCTTCTCTCATTTTCTTCTCTTTTGTCGTCCCGTTATTGTTGCGTGGTTTCTTTCCGGCTGTACCACATTCTAGCCTTCTCCTACATCATCCATCTTCAACATCACGTATCAAACCTTGTGCTTTCACAAACCTTGGCAACGTCATCCAGCCCCATGCTGCTATGGCAAACTCGGCGGATTTTGCTTTCTCAGGCACCCCCTCATCCGATACCATGCACACCACACCTCCCACTTCCCGCCTTCTTTCCTCTCCGACACCATCTCATCCGGCTATTGGTCTATCCAACATCAAAAATTACGTCACCCCTGTGCTTGATTCACGAATTACATGCTCTGGAAAGAGCTTTTCCTTCCTGTCTTTCACGGCCATGCCATGATTGGTCACATTGATGGCTCCGATCCTTGTCCTCAGTCAACTCTCCCTGCCTCTGACGGCTCTTCCTCCTCTAATCCCAATCGCGCTTTTCAAACTTGGACCCAAATCGACTCCATTGTCCTCTCCTGGATCCAAGCCACTGTTTCAACTGAGATTTTGCAAGCAATCGTTCGGCCAAATTCTTCCCTTACCGCCCGCGAAGCGTGGCTTACCATCGAGCAACTCTTCCACGCTCAACTTGGTTCTCGCCTTCTCCAACTAAATTGCAGTTTCATAGCTTAAAGAAAGGTGATTTAACTATAAATGAGTATGTTACCAAGCTGAAGATGTTGGCTGATTCCTTAACATCCGTCGGTTCTCCCATCTCCGACGATGACCTGGTGCTTCAAATCCTGGCTGGACTCCC